AGTTGAATACATTATCTTCGATTTTCAAGTATATAAAATCAGGAAGAGGTAGCATAGCCTAATGGTTAAGAGATTGGATGTTGGAACCATGCTGCCTAGCTTCTAGTCTGGCAGGTAATTAAATCACTTTGTGCTTGTTTCCTCATCAGAAAAAAAGTAATAGGGATGATGATAATAGTGCCTACCTTGTTGTGTGGGAAAGTTTCAGTAAATGACCTTCTGTTTGTAAAGTGCTTAGAAGAGCACTTGGCTTAGAGGCAGCACCGTATAAATGTTGTAAATAAAATGGCCCCCACATGTCTACCCCTCTGTCCCTAGAATGCTATGCTAAATTGAACTTAGGGGACTGCTCTGGTTGTTTTTCCCCTGCCTCCTCCATAGTTTTGGATTCCTTGCCATTTGGGTAACACCTGGAAACAACATATGAACCTCAATGCTCTGATTCTCTGCTTTTTTGGAACATTTTATTAGTCTTGATTTTAACAAAGAGACCTATTCAGCCTTGTTGTATAAGGATGATAAACTAGATTCAATGGGTGGTAACTTTTACTAGCTTCATATTTCTAGTTTTTAGATTTGGTAGATATAAAAGGCTTCTATATCCTAACAACTGTAGTGGAACACACTGACTTCTCTAGGGAAACTTGTGTCAGCGCTAGGTTTGTGTCCTGGTTTTGCCACTTACCAACTATGCTGAGTGGCCTTGGGCAGGCTAATCCCTGTGCTTCTGTTTCCAATAGCAGAGAAGCAGTTGCAAGGTTGGAAACAACCTTGCAGAATTGTTTCTTCATCTGGAGTCTTAGTGGGACTCTGAGGTCCTTTGGAGTATCCTCCATGAATAGTTTAAGATTCAGCTCCTGGTTCTGCTAAGTGAACACCCCTCCCCTCTCTTTCCAGGTCCTAAAATGGAGTGGTTGTCCTCACTCTTGTTTTCTGTGCCCTTGGGGGTTTATGCTTTATTTAACAAAATCCCTCTTCTGCTAGTTTAAAGGTACATTGATGGCACAGAGGTAAATTTATGTGTTTAATTCACCATTTTAAACCAGGAGTCATCCGTAAGCTTTCAAAGAAAGATTCTTAGCTATATTTCTCCTGTTATCAAAACAAGTATCTTTTGAAATTTTCCTGTAAGAATGAATTTAGCACCTCCCTTCTCTGTTCCCTGTTCTCATTAATCTGAGAATTCATCCCTTGATTATTGTTGTTAGATATGTTATATTAAATTATCCCTTAAAAACAATAGTATTTAATTTGGCAATGAAATTTAGGGCAATTATTTATGTTGCTATCCATAGTCCTTTTATTCTAAAATTATCATTTCTGAATTCTTAATTTTTGTTTATATCTTTATAGATTGGAATTAGCCTAAGTAATTTTTTTGAAGGTTAATGAGTAATGAATTTTCAGACTCTTTGAATATATGAAAATATCTGTCATATTCCTCTTCAAATGAGAGGCAGCTTGGCTTGCAATAGCTTTCTTTGATTGAGTCTTTCTTTTATTCTGACATTTGGTAATACAGAAGAGAAATTTAAGACCAAGTAGACATTTGTTCCTTTAAGTTGGTGACTTGTTTTCATTTGATTTATGTGTGGTGACTTGTTTTTGTTTTTATCTCTGAATACTGAAGGGTCTCCCCCCACCTTAACCCTAGAATTCAAAATTTTTGTCAGAATGTGGCTTTGAATTGATATTGTTTGGAATATAATTTTCTCCTTTTTTTTTTTCCAGTTCATATTTTTGTGTGTGTGTGTGTCTTTGATTATCACTTCTATTTCAGTTCCTTGTTTCCTCAGAAACAACTATAATTAGATTTGTTTTTTCTTTTCTTTTCTTTTTTTTTTTTTTTTGAGTTGGAGTCTCACTCAGTCGCCCAGACTGGAGTGCAGTGGCCACTCCCGGCCACCGCAGCCTCGACCTACTGGGCTCCGGCAATTCTTTTGCCTCAGCCTTCCAAGTAGCTGGAACTACAGGCACATGCTACCACGCCCAGCTAATTTTTTTTTTTATTTATTGTAGAGATGAGGTCTTGCCAAGTTGCCCAGGCGGGTCTCGAACCCGCGGGCTCAGGCAATTCACTCACCTTGGCCTCCCAAAGCATGGGTTTACAGGCTGAGCGACCAAGCCTAGCCAGATTTGTATTTTCTAGTTCTCCAGATCTCGGATCTTTTTTTTCCCCCTCCGTCTATTTGTTCTTTTCTCTGGCCTCATGGGAGTATTTACTGTCTGTGCAAATGATGTAATTTTACACAGCATCTATGTTTCCCCTTCATGTGGATAATAATGCTGCACTTCATGTTTACAATCCATGTTATGCTTCTCTATTTCACATATGAGATTTTTATCTTCACCAGCAGTCTTTTATTGGCTTATGACTCTCTCCTTTTGTTTTTAGGAATCATATCTTCTTGTGTATTATGCTAACAATGCCAAATACTTTCCTAAAAATTACTTCTGATTCCTCTAGGAAGTTGTTCTAAGGAGACTGTTCTTCCTTTGAATCCTTGGCATGTTCTTTTCTTTCCATAGTTAATACTACTTACTAGACTCATGCTGACATATAACAGTTATTTTCATTCCTGAATTTTAAAATACTCCTCTAGACCTGTCAGACAGAATGTATGGATAGCTCTTGACCCCACTCTCTGTCCTCTTGGTTTGCTAGTAAAAATCCTTCTGTAGATCTCTGACCTTGTAGAAGGTTGATGTTTACAGGCTCTGATTCATTTTCAGTAGACTAGGGGAGAGTTTTGTATAAAGCAGCTATCTCCAGTGCCTTGTTCTCTGTCCATCTATATATGGATTGTGTAAGAACTCCACTCCCAGAATGCAGTACCTTTATAGGTCATCTTGCCCATGAATCTGCTTTTCTGCCACTGAAACTGCCTGGGTAAAAAGTACTTCCCCTTCTCCCCAGTTGGCATTCGCTAACTTATGGAGTGGGGAATTCCCCTGTTGCCTCAAATATCATTCATGGAGAGAGCTGTCTAGGTTTCTGACTAATAGCAATTTTTTGCGTTTCTATACAAGATGGCAGAAAGTAGAGAAAGGGAAATACACAGATGAAGATTTTCCTACTTCCTGTAAGACTTGTGCCTTGTTTCTCACTGCTAATCACAGGTGTTACATATCATTTTATTCTTTCTCTGTTATAAGAATTATTTTCAGATTCTGGCAATAGGGTGAAAGTCATCTTCCTTTTCATGGTTGCATGTACCTTTATTTATCTCTCTTTTTATAGATGGTTTAGAGGAAAGTTGGGAGAGGCTATATCAGGGGTTGGTTGGTAACTAGCATTTAAAACTGTAACATGAGACTTCACAAATTTTTTTTAAAAAGCACTTTTTCATGTTGCAAAATGCTCGAAGATTTTGCTTCCTGCAGATATGTTGTGGAAATAAACTCTGCCTTGTAAATATCCATCACAAGTTGCTATTCAAATGATGGAGGCATCCGTGTTCCTGTAATAGAACCTATGTCTTATGAAAACTGGGTCATTTTTAGTGATGAAATAAAATGTAGATACATAAGTGATTGCAATGACTCCTATAAAGTTTTTATTAGACATGAAAACTGCCTATAAATAAGAGTCTTAGAGCTGAAATCGCTGTCATAAATCATTTAATCTAGGAGCGGCAAATTCAGTTGGGGCCAGACAAGTAAGGCAAATACATGAAGTAGGCTAGTTCAATATACTAGTGAGTGGGAGGGACTAGAGAAAAGTGGACATTACTTGAGCTACTGAATCTTTGAGTCATCATGATAACATAAACCCAGTCTCCCATTATAGAGAAGTAACTGAGGTCAAGAGATATTAACTGATTTGCCCAGAGTTAATTGAGTATCTGCGTCTTAACCAGAACCAGCTACATAATCTGCAGGGCCCAATGCAAAATAAAATACTGGACCCCTTGTTCAATAATTATTAAGAATTCACAAGGGCGACAGCAAAGCGTTAGATCAAACATAGGGTCTTGTGTCACACACCCATGAAGGTGTCCTGAGTTTTAGCTTCCAATCTAGAATTTGTACACCCAGACAGAAACACATCAAGACTCTCACCCACAACCACCAAGAAATTGATTGTGGAGATGGGATTAAAATTAAACTCTTGACTTTAATATTGTAATAAATGAAAGGTCTTTACTTAAGAGAGGGCTTTTCATAAGACCTCAGAAATGCTAATTAGCGAAATTGGCCAGTTTTCAAAGGCACAGCTATTCATATTCAGAAAATACAAGAAATAAAATTGTGACTTGAATACTAGGGCAAGAGTCTTTTGTAATAAATAAATACACACAACACACACACACACACACACACACACACACACACACACACACACACACACACACACACACACCCCTTACATTTTGAAGACTTAAAACAGTTCAATCATTTAAAATTGAAAGAAAATTTAAAATATTTTCCTTATTAAAAGTGAAAGTCATAGCCAGACCAACAATTTGGAATGGTATAGGGTTGCCATTTGCAGTTGTTATTTGATTTTTTTTTTAGATTTTATGTGCCTTCCTTTAGCAACATCTACAAAAATGTTGATAGTTGTTAAAAGATGAAGAAAAAAGTTCTGACCTAATTTTAAAATATTGAGGCTATGTTTTTAAAACAAATAGTTATTTACTTCTGAATTATTTGTATGATTCATATGTTATGCCTTCATATTGTTGAACCCTGTCTCTTCTTGAGTGATTAACAAGAGAGATCTCTTGTTGGGGACAGAGAAGATGAGCAAATGGGCAAATACAGTAATTAACTGAAAAGTAAGTTATGAATAGAAAGGTCAATATTTAAGATTTTTGCTGTAAGCCATGCACACCAGTATATGTGTTCAGCTAGTACTGAAATTGATTAGCAAATTTAATCCTTGGTTGGTAGGGAGAGCAGATTTTATTTAATAAACTGTTTCCCCCCACATGTTTCAGGATACATTGTGAATTATATAAACTGAATGTCATCAAATTTCTTTTAACCTTTTACAGGTGGAAATTTTCATTTTATCTTTACGTATTTACCTATGGAGTCCGATTCCTGAAAAAGGTAAGATCTCTCAAGTTACTTTTAATTCTTATGTAATTTAAGCTTACTCATTTTTTTAAATGTGTGACTGTAGTCAGATTTCAAATAATCATAACTGGCTTCCTAAAAATTACTTGTGTGTTTGTATTTGGCTCATAAAAGTATTTTGCAGTTCCTTCTTTATAGTAAATCGTTTTTAGGCATACCTAAAATACTCTTGAAAACCATTAGTTTTTCCAGTGGAAGACATTGCTGAGTCCCATATTCACTCTAGTGAGTAATTTATAACTTTGGGCTTTAGGAACCTTATAAATCCTTCTGATGTTTTGAAATGAGTTTCTACATCACACATCAGTAGCTGAAATGTGTATTATCATTGTAGTCATCGCCAGTAGAAATTAGTATATTAGTATCTTGCATAGGGCAACACCTGCTGGTGAAAAATTCAGTTCCTTTCATAGATGATGTTTCCTCTGCTATATCCTGTATGAACTGAGGCTCCTTAATCTATGAACATAATTCTTTGTGGCTGTCAGGTTGTTTCAGTGCTTACTGGTACTACTAACAAATTAGCCTCCTTAATTTCAATACTCATGAAGACTTATCTTTTCATAGTCATACACTTATTAACAATAGTGATTTGGTATATAACGGGGAATTATTTGTATAAGTACCCCATAGCCTTAAACTTCTAAGTGATACCAGGGTTATCTTTAATTATTACAAAACTTTTTCTAAAGTAGGGCACCTACTAAGTGGCATGCCTTACTAGTAAATTTTGTAAGTATCGAAATGAAAATTTCAGATACTTTTTTATTTTTAAAGTCTGAGTTATCAGATAATGTCTGTCTGTGGTGAATTCTACTATAAACAGTGGTTGTTTCCATTATCATATTTTTCTGGAAGATTTTGTTTTTTTTGCTTATTGTATTTTCCTGTGATAATTGCACTTATTTTGTCTTACTAAGATTATATTGCCCTGAAGCCATTTGTATAGATTTAAAGAACGAACTTGGCTCTGTAGGCTTTCTAAGTATGAAGAAATTCTCCTGGGGGTAAATAAACATGGTAGAATCTGCTTATTTGGAACTCTATTGTTCTAGTTTTCAAAGGTACTTATCCAGAAAAAAATAGAATGGCTGTATTGCTTTTATGCTTACAGCTTTACTAGCTTGGGAGGGGAAATGGCTTTGAATACATTTCAGCTGATATGGAAGAAGAGGTGTGCTTCTTCATGGGAATGTGTAGTTACTCACTAAGGTCAAGGTTTGGTATTCACGACTAGTTCTGCTGGTGATGGGCTTTGATAGAAAGAAAGGAAAGATGGTAAAAGTCAGGAGCACCTTGCCCCCAGGCCTCCTGAATATGGTCTCCTCTAGCTCTCATGTGGTAGCAACATGGCTGTCTGTCATCAGAACAGGAAACACTTTGACACTTAACTCTGGTTCACTCTCTCCCTAAACAAATGGAATAGAACGAGGTAGTTTCTGTCTGCTGGTTTTCAGTGGGTCTGTACAAGGCAGTAAGAGGGCCTACCAATAGGATGTTCACTTGAAATTGTTTTTCTTTAAAATCTGCTAGTTTTATACTAGATTCAATTGCTTCTGGTTATAACAAATTTTTCAAAAAGCAAAAAAAAGAACTAGACATTGTTCTTCTTGCTGACTCAATTTATATGGAGGAGGATTTCTTTCTTTAAGCTGTCTAAGCAGCATTCAGTTTCGATGGGCTGTATGGTTCAGTTTTAATCATAATGTTAGATTAAAATGTGTTTATTAAAGGCTGAACCTGAAGTGAAACACATACTGCTGTTTCTTATTCAAGTGCCTTTTCCACTTTATCAGCCTGCCTTAACCTCAGCATGATTTTGAAATGACTTCCTTCTTTGGTTAAGTTAGCAAACTTGACCTAGCCAGGTCATTATTGCTAGTTATGGAACTCTTAACAGCTTACTTTAATATATGTTTTAAAAATATTTTAATTAACTGTCTTGCAGTGGACAATATATTTTCCCATGTAAACTGAGAGAAAAAATTATGAATGCAAGCATTAAAAATAATCAAAGCAAAGTAATTCAAATTTTTGTGATTCCCTAAGCGTTTTAAAATATATTTCCATCAATCTAGCATAAATTTGACTTTGAGTTCAGATTTTTTCAGAGTTTAGTAGGAAAGTTTTTATCTAGTGCCATAGTAATGGATCAATTTTAAGAGTTGAGAGGCCATAGTGCCCATGAATTATTACATGGGCTGTTAGAAAAATGCCTGGATAGCTTACACTGTCCAGTTTTCCTCTGCTGTTAAGTCAAATAAGCCTGTTATGTCTCATTTTCTAGGGTGGATTAAGTGTCCTTTCTACCCTAAAAGAATAAGGAAGCAGACACTATAAGGCATTGACCTTACAGACATGTTGGTGAACTATTAAGTAAAGTTATTGCTAGATTGGTAGGAAATATTTAAATAGTTGAAAGTAAGCCTGATTCAACGGTCTACTCCTGTAATTGTTGTACACATGTAACTTTGCCCATAAATATAATAGGCGGAAACAAGTACTTTTTGAAAGGGAAGACCCAGAATTACTCAAGGTGCTCTGGAGTCCTAGCAGACAATGTACTTGTACAAATTCACACATTTTCCTAGGTCCTGAAAGAAAGTGCATATCAAGTCTTAAACAGAATAAATTATCACTTACTCTTAACGTTTTTTTCTCACTTGTAGATAGAAGTTTCTATTGGGTGGAGTTCTTTGAATATATTTCTTTGAGTTCCTTATTTTAAAAAATGCAGTGTCACAAAAAGACAATGTAGCTATATGGGATTTAAATTTTTAAAATTTCTTATAATCTACATCATAGGCTAATTTATTTCCAACTTTTTGACCATATGGTACATTGTGTATCACAGTCCATTTTGCACACACACATATACAAGTAAAAGAGATGTTACTCAAGATATACCTATGCCTAACTTCTGTATCAGTCAGGGGCCCCCTAGGAGACAGAAACCACAGGAGTTATTTTAGAAGGGACTTTAATATAAAGAATAATTCACCAGAGGGAACCACTAAGGCTGTGTTACTCAAAGTAAGTTGTTCTGATGCTTACTACAGTCTGCAGTGAGATAAGAAGCTTGCACCTGAATATAAATCAACTCACTGCTTATTTTTGAGAAAGTCTACCTATGAAGAAAAGTTTTCTGAATGAAACAGTATGCTTAGTGATATGCTAAATTTACACTCTGGCGTAAGCTCCTTATGTCTTGTGGACCTCTAGCAGACATTTCAAGGACTGACCCTCACCTGTTACATTTAGGGTATTGTGGAGGTAATAATAGCAGGAAGACACTACCACTGTGAGGACCAGGAGGACCAGGATTGCAGAACCTAGAGGCCCAAAGGAAGAACCATGGAGTTGGATAAGACTTCTGAGTTGGGGACGTTGGCCAGCTGGTGTCTTAGAGGGAGCACAATGGGGAACTGCAAACTGGAACCAGCTTCTGCTGCTAGGATGAAGATGCATTGCTGGGTAGTGAGGGTCATGGCAATGACTAGATCTGGATGCAAAACAGAAAGGAGCAAATCCCATCTTTCTCTTGCAACCTTCCTGCCTCCCTCAAGTACTTCCGAGAGGCCAAACTTAGTAAGGGACTAGCTGCTTAGAGCCAATAGCAATGTGGTTTGCAGAGTCCCTGCTCTGAGGCCGACAGCAGTATCTCAACAGTTAACCCAACTCTATTGTGTTGCTGCATTCTGCAATGTACTCTGATAGCTTATTGTTACTTACTACATTTTTTAAACATGGAAGTTGCCACCTTTTATGTGGACTTCATTACTAGCTTCATTACTAACTACTGGGTGAAAACTTGCAGTTGAAAGTGCCCTGCCAGACAGAGCCCTTTGTCCTTAGACTTTCTGGATTCATCCTGAAAGGCACAGCCTTTCTTTGTTAATCTGGTGTACTTTTCAACGTCCAGCACATACAGTCATGAAGTGTTCCCTGGTGTCGTGCTTTGAGATGTTCTCTTTTGTTTATTGGTTAACGTGGAACCTTTCTGAAGTGGAAACAGGATAGTCATACTTTTGCTTATTTTGAGGGTGAAAATAAAATTTGTCCAGCCATTATTAGAATGTGTGTCCATTTTAAATTTTGTATCATTTTTAAAAATCATGATATTGCTTGGATTATTTCACTTGTTTAAGGAGGCTTGAAATTTAGTTTTACCAGTGAAGCTGGTCCCCTTGAAATACTTCTGTAAGAAGTGCCTATGACATACTAACATTTGGAGGGACCCTAAGAATCAGCTATTTCATTTCAGAAAAGAAGAAATAATTACAGAAGGATGAGTTGACTTGCCTGAGGCAAAACTAGAGGTCTGCTTTATGGTCGTTAGTCTGTCTAGATCAGTCTAAACACAAAGAAAGCAAGATTCAAAAAGCTAGCGGTCCAAGTAATATATTTTTTTATTAGAAAGTTCACTTTACTTGCTAAGAAATAAGAGTCACATTGGTGTTAAGAGAACGTTGTTAGAAGTCAATATTGAGGTTTCAGTCTTAGCTCTGCCCATTATTCCTGAAGGAAACTTTACTCTCTGACACTTCATTTTTTCACTTCTATAAAATGAGAAGATGATGCTTGTCATGACTCAGCTTGTGTTTATAGGAGTGCTTTAGAACTATCAAGTACTTTGGAAATATAAAGCATGACACTAATTATTAGTGATTGAGAGATGGGCTCTGCTGGAATTATGTATGCCTATGTCTACTATAGTTACTTAACATGAAATTTTAAAATACTGTACCACTGCCTCTTGGTCAGTAAGACCCCTTGTTATCATGCTTGGATGCTTACAAATATGTATACAAACTTTGTGGGAGGGGTGACATTAAAATAACTGTAGGAAATTATTCAGTGCTACCTTTCATTGCATTCTTCTTTCTCCTTCTACCCACTAGTACCCTCTTGTATGTGTTCCAATTCTCTTCATACTTTTCCTTTGTCCTACTCTGTTTTCCTTCGATATAGGC